TCATTTCCCATTTTGTATGTGTGCAACTGATTGTTCCTTCCTACGTGGAATACTTTGCATTTGTCTTTACTGAATTTCATCCTATTTACGTCAGACCATTTCTCCAGTTTGTCCAGATCATTTTGTATTTGAATCCTATCCTCCAAAGCACTTGCAACTTCCCTTAGCTTGGTATCATCCACAAACTTTATAAGTGTACTCTCTATGCCATTATCTAAATCATTTATGAAGATATTGAACAAAACCATACCCAGCCAGGACTGATCCCTGAGAGACCCCACTCAATATGTCCTTCCAGCTTGACTGTGAACCATTGATAACTACTTTCTGGGAGTGGGTTTCCAGCTAGTTGTGCACCCACCTTACAGTAGCTCCATCTAGGCTATATTTCCCTAGTTTGAGACAGTATCAAAACCCTTACTAAAGTCAAGATATACCACATATACCACTTCCCCCATACTCACAAGGCTTGTTACCCTGTCAAAGAAAGCTATTATGTTGGTCTGACACGATGTTCTGGACAAATCCATGTTGACTATTACTTATCTTATTATCTCCTAGGTGTTTGCAAAAGGATTGCTTGCTTATTTGTTCCATTATCTCTCCGGTTACTGAAGTTAAGATGAGTGATCTGTAGTTCCCCACGTTGTCCTTATTTCCCTTTTTATAGATTGACATTATATTTGCCCTCTTCCAGTCCTCTGGAATCTCTCCTGTCTGCTATGAGTTTTCAAAGATAATCGCTAATGGTTCATATATCTCCTCAGTCAGCTCCCTGAGTGTTCTACATATTTCATCAAGCCATGCCAACTTGAAGTAATTTTTAACTTGATCTTTCACTATTTTAGCCTTAGATACTACCTCATTTTCACAGGTGTTCACTCTCTTAGATGTGCTATCTCTACTAACCTTTTTGGTGAAAACTAAACAAAAAAGTCATTTAGCATTTCTGTCATTTCCACATTTTCTGTTATTGTCTTTCCCCCGCTCACTGAGTAACAGCCTACCCTGTCCTTGGGTCTTCCGCTTGCTTCTAATGTATTTGTAGAATGTGTTCTTGTTACCCTTCATATCTCTAGCTCAGAAATGGGCAAACTTTTTGGCCCAAGGGCAACATCTGGGTATAGAAATTGTATGGCGGGCCATGAATGCTCACGCAATTGGGGTTGGAGTGCAGGATGAGGTGAGGGCTCCGGAGTAGAGCCAGAAATGATGAGTTCAGGGTGCAGGAGGGGGCTCCGGGCGGGGGTACAGGCTCTAGAGTGGTGCTGGGGATGAGGGGTTTGGGGTGTAGAAGGGTGCTCCAGGTTGAGACCAAAGGGTTCGGAGGACGGGAGGAGGATCAGGGTTGGGGCAGTGGGGGGGGGGGCGGGGGGCGATGGCTCAAGGGTGCAGGCTCCAGGTGGCACTTACCTCAAGCGACTCCCGAAAGCAGCGGTTTGTCTCCCCTCCAGCTCCTACGTGGAGGCACGGCCAGGTGGCTCTGCTGCGTGCTGCCCCATCCGCAGGCGCTGCCCTTGCAGCTCCCATTGGCCATGGTTCCCGACCAATGGGAGCTGCAGGGGCGGCACTTGGGGCGGGGGCAGCGTGCAGAGCAGAGCCCCCTGGCTGCCCCTACACGTAGGAGCAGGAGGGGAGACACAATGCTGCTTCCGGGAACCACACAGAGCAGCCCCCGACCCTTCTCCGAGGCTGGAGCGGGGCAAGCCCCAGACCCCGCTCCCGAATGGGAGCTCGATAGATGGATTAAAACGGCTGGCAGGCCAGATCTGACCGCGGGCCGAAGTTTGCCCACCCCGCTCTAGCTAGTTTAATCTTATTTTGTGCATTGGCCTTTCTGATTTTGTCCCTACATGCTTGTGCTTTTTTAAATATTCAGCCTTCCTAATTTGACCTAGTTTCCACTTTTTGTAGGCCTCTTTTTTGAGTTTCAGATCACTGAAGACCTCCTGGTTAAGCCAGATTGGTCTCTTGCCATATTTCCCATCTTTCCTACAGAGTAAGATATTTTGCTCTTAATAATGTCTCTCTGAAAAACTGCCAACTCTCTGTTTTTCCCCTTAGACTTGCTTCCCATGGGATCTTACCTACCAACTCCCTCAGTTTACTAAAGACTGCCTTCCTGAAATCCATTATCTTTATTCTGCTGTTTTCCCTCCTACCATTCCTTAGAATCATGAACTCTACCATTTCATGGTCATTTTCATCTAAGCTGCCTTCCAGTTTCAAATGCTCAACCAGTTCCTCCCTATTTGTCCAAATCAAATCTAGAACAGCCTCTCCCCTACTGGCTTTCTCCAATGCTTTCCAATAATTTTGTTGGATAATCTGTGCCCTGCTGTATTATTTTCCCAAAGGATGTCTGGGTAGTTGAAGTCCCCTATCACCCCCAAGTCCTGTGCTTTGGATGATTTTCTTAGTTGTTTAAAAAAAGCCTTATCTACCTCTTCTTCCTGGTTATATGGTCTACAGTAGACCCCAACCATGACATCACCCTTGTCTTTTACCCCTTTTATCCTTACCCAAAGATTTTCAACAAGTCTGTCTCCTATTTCCATCTGAACCTCAGTGCAAGTGTATTTATCTTTGATCCTTCCCTTTTTTCCCCTGACTGTCCTTCCTGACTTTCTTCTCTGCAAAATCTCTTGAGCAGATTTTCTGCACCATGCAAGAGCTTTGGGTTGACAATCAGTTTCAAGAAAACTGTGATCATATACTAAGGGATGGAAGAACCAGTGCCCGACATTACTCCGAAGCATAAATCTCTTTGCATCGTTGACAGCTTTTGCTACTTGGGTTCTATGATCAGCAGGAATCTTGACCCTCTGATTGAACTAACAGAGCTGGAAAAACAGCTAAGAATTTCAGGCTATTACAGAACCGTGTATGGAATAACAGCAAATTTTAATTAAGGTGAAGATGCGGATCTATGAGACTTGAGTGCTGTCATTCCTGCTCTATGTTTCAGAAACATGGACAACATATACTAAACACATCAGGAGACTGAACAACTTCCACATGAGATGCCCGTGTAATATTCTGGAAATAAAGTGGGAAGACAAAATATCAAACACAGAGGTGCTGAAGCATGCAGGATTGATACACTTAGAAACTACTATCAAGAAGAAGAGGTTGCAATGGCTCAGTCACGTCAGGAGAATGGGAGGTGACTATATCCTCAAGAATATTTTGTACAGCAAGATTCAAGACAGCTCTAGAAAGCAGAGTTGCCCTTTATGACTGTACCACAATGTGTGCAAAAATTATATGAAATCATTCAACATTAATGTAGACAACAAGGAGGAGCATGCAGTATTCCGTTCAATCTGGAGGGAACATCTGGCACTGGGTTCAGGTCAACATGAAGTGGCTTTGATCCAGAGGATGGAAGCAAAGTGAGAAAGAAGAAAGCAGCATGCTGTAATTTTGGATTCCAACTCAGACAACACATGGATCTGTGAAACTTGTAACACGCTATGTTGCTTTGAAATTGGGCATGTCAACCATAAGCAGATTCATCAGGCACCTGACTAGACCTTTTACACGTACGCCATGATCCAGTGGATCACCAGTTAGCTGAGCAAGCTGTACCCTTCTATACCAATATTCCAGTCACCATTATCCCACCTAGTCTCTATGATGCCAACTATATTACAGTTGTGTTTATTCACTAGTATTTCTAGTTTTTTCTCTTTATACCCCCCATAGTATTGATGATCAATACTACCCACAACACACCTTTCAAAATGCATGGGTCCTACATATGCCTATCACATGTGGTGTACCTCATCCATGCCCCAGTAACAACTATGTGGGTGAAATGAGACAAGCACTTTGAAATACTGTCAAATGAACTCTCACAGAAAAATGATAAAAGACAAATGCCATATCACCCATGGGCGAACATTTTCACAAAGCAACCACTCCATATTTGACCTCTCAGTCCTCACCCTCAAAGGAAAGTAGAACACCAACTTCAAAATATGAGTCTAGGAGCTTAAATTCATAACTTAGTTAGATACTAAAAAATCATGGACTTAATATAAATCCAGTGTCTTTGTCTCATAACCCACTAACCTTTCTTGGTCCTTGGTACAGGTGCTAACTGTCCGCTTCACCATGAATGGTCTCTCTTGCAACATGTGTTTACACCTCATCTGTTCTACCCTTCTATTTAGCTGTGACAGTGAGAGTACCTCTCCCAGACCTAAAGAGCAGCTCTGTGCAAGTTCAAAAGCTTCTCTCTCTCCAACAGAAACTGGTCCAATAAAAGATATTACCTCACCTACCTGTTCTCTTAGCATTTATTTTGGATTTCCTTATTTCAAGCATGTGTACACTCCTGCCCAACTATCAAAATTCTGCCAGCTTCTATTCTTCTGAACTTTGCCACTGATGTTACAACTACCAATGAAGAATAACTGATAGTGGACCATGCTTACTAGATTAAGGCAAGTCACATTTCTCCCAATATTTTTTTTAAATATTTTTCTTTTAAAATATTAAAAAAATACTTGTTACTTGATATCCTACATATTATAAAATAAGAATATTTAAAATATGCAACAGATTTCAATTTCTAGTACTCTCACCAGCAGAGTATACACTAGGGTAATCACAGCAAGTGGTAGTTCCTGATCAGTTAAGCCTGTTAGTTACAATACACAACCAGACAGTAGCGGAATATTTCATCTTGAGCAACTCACTTTACTTTTCCATACTCGAGTTTTCTCTTCTATGAAATAATACTACCCTCCTCCTTGGTAAAGTACTTTATGATGTTTGAATGAAAGATTCTTTATAAGGACAAAGCATCCTTTTGTATTCACTCTTACATAAAAAGTATTTTTATCTTTACTAAAGGACTAAATATTTCAACAAGTGTTTGCAGGATCAGGACCTATGTTTCGGAAGCAGGTACATAACTTCAGTGGAACGGATTTAGATAAGCAAGTTAGTATGTTAAAATAAATATCACAGTTGCATAAACAAATTCCTACCTTGGAGAGTGCATCATCATGGACAACTGTATTAGTTGTTAAAAGTACAAGAACCGTCTGAAGTAATTTGAGTTCTTCAAGACTATTTTCCATCAGTTGCCAAAGCATGTTAATAATATTTCCAGCTGCAGCCTATGAAGAAATCATTTGATATATACAATTAAATTTTATATACTTTGTATTTAATACCACGATTACACATACATTTAAAATACATCATTCATATATACTATAGTAAATTCATTTTTTTCCTACAACCATATAAACACACAGGGAATACAATACTAATTTCTTTGTCACAATGGTCCTGGATATCAAGAGACTTACGCGATTAGTTCTCTTCTATTTAAGGCATATATTTTAATCATTTTGTCAACCTGTGTGCACACTTCATTTTTCAACCAGAAGCACAAGTTCTCTTAGAGGAAAAGGCAATTCACTACAAAGCTAATTTGACTACAAACTTCAGTGACCTATATATGCCAGAAAAATATGCCTATTACTCTGTCTAAACACAGCTTTGTATATCTTTTTAATACATATTACTTTCATGGACTGTTTGACACACATAAAAAGCAGTACTACTAGATGTTACATGTGTATTTAAGACTACGGTAATAGTTGTATGCTATATTATCAAACGGATGCAAACACCCTGCATAGGGTCTGGAGCCAAAAGAAGGTGAAACTATATACAGAAGTACAGATTTATCAAACCTGCGTAAGTCCAATCCTCTTATATGCATTTGAAACATGGATACTGCTTAAACAAGACATTGGGAGGTTGGAGGCATTTCATATGCATTGCCAGCAGTGACTACTGGGTACAAGATGGTTTGACTTTATCAATAATAGAGATTCATCATTGAAAATTGGCCTCAAGATGACTAGAATCATCATTGGCCACTGACAGCTGGCTCTTTTTGGTCACGATGCTTGTCTTGGAGACAAAGTCTCCGCATATCAAGCCTTGAAGACTGGACTTGAGGTCAGTAAAGGACACTGCCCAGTCACAGACTGGTGGCAGTCACGCCATTGCCCACAATTAACCTGTACCAGATCAATAATAAACCTGGGGAGTTCTTAAATGCTGCGAATAAAGCTGTGCAGTGTGGTCACAGACACTTGGCGCTACAAACCTCCGCTGTCTAAGCATATTATTCTTGTTACTACTTATACTGAATTCAAGAGCTATGCCATTGAATCTTTAATATAATAATATACTATTCATGCACAGAGACAGGCAGAGTAAAGATTACACTTCTATTCTTAAGTGTGGTACGTACCAACTTTTGAATGCTTAACTGTGCCCTTTTCATACAGCACTACAACCACATTAGCCAAAACAGTTTTTCAAATCAGCCATTTTTATCATGTAAAAGAGGTCTTCCTGGTTTGTGGCATTGATTTCTTGGACTATGTCAATACAAGTTTGGCAATAGTGTTTCCTAGCTAACTGCTGCTGAGCCAGCTAAGGAATCCAACTATTGTAATGGATTCTACAAAAGAATACCTTTTTAAAAAAAACAATTATTTTATGTACTTTTCCTTTGGCTCCAACGGGGTGGACTGGATTTTGACAATGATATTTTAATCTCCAAAAAAACATTTTCCACCCGATTATATCCATTTTAATATACATAAATGTGTTTCAGCTTTAGAAAGCAGTCTCATAAGTGTTTTTATCTTTGCTAAAGTACTGAATACTTCAAATATTTCAATACAAGACAATATTTTCATATAATATCCATCTTACCTCTGAAACAACTTCATGTGACATAAGTCTCTGTATGGCTGCTAGACACAGCTGAGTAATCTTTGGTTCCTTTGTTCCACAGCCCATTAGAAACGGCTGAACTACCTCTGAGCTGTTCTCTTTCAATGCTTTTGAACAGAGATAAGGAAAGTTGGTCAACTTTATCAGTTTGCTGATTTGAATGAGGTAAAGCAAATACTTGTTAGTCATAAAACACATGATGAATAATTGTTAAGTTATTCAAACCCTAAACAACAACAAAACCCAGAAAGAATCTCCAATCTTGAAATTTATGGCAGATATTTTTGCACTGGGGAGAAGCAATTGGATTAAGGGTGAGAGAAATGCCAGTACTCTCCTGAATACTTGACCTGCCATTGAGCTTCTTGTCCTATCCTCTCTTAACCTTTTCCACAGTGCTCTGATCCCCACATCCCCTCATCCTCCTCACTTTGCCCCATCTTAGTGCATCTCCTCATCTTGGTCTCTCTTTCTCCCTAACCCTCAAACTTCCTTCTAGAGTGACTTTGGTTTGTCCATGGTCATAAGCCTCTTCCAATCTTCACGAAAACCTTTCTTCCCCTTTGGGCTCTGCAAGGAGTTTCAAACTTGTGCTCCATGTATGGAGCAGTGCATCAAGAAGGTGCTACATGTGTAGCACAAAGAGATGTATACCAGTGCAGACAGAGCAGGTGGGGGGGGGGGGGAAATCAAAGCAATACCAACCACATGGCCCTGTATAGTGTAGTGAGAATGACTGGTCATTTAGAGCCCTATTCACATAAGGATACGATGAGTTTAAGAAAAACAAAAGTTAGTCATTTTTGTACCATAGCTCTTATAAGTAAAACTTATGCTTGTGCTATGATGGCAAATAGCAGACATAAACAGCTTTTTATTTATGTAAAACTCAAAGAAATTTGGAGTATATGTGAGAGTTTGTTTTTTTTTTACTCAATGTTCCAACAACTGATTTGAAAACCAACATCAAGTTAAGAGCATCAAAAAAGTATTTAAAACTGAGGCCTCTTGACTAAAACAACTCAAAAAAAGAGCTAGAGGATTGTTAAAAGCGTCTGCTTCCTGTAAGGATGTTATATCCGTGGACTTATAAAGGATCAGACAAAGTGAATGTATTAAACAAATTGCATTCTATAATGGCAGTTTCTTCAGAGACACTACAGGGTAACAAACAATTTATTGACAGATATACAGATCTGGATATTATAGATCCAACATCAAAAGCTTATTTAAAAATCAGACAGGAAGCCCTGAATGTGTATGAGCACAAGCCACTTTTTAATCCTCAATATTGTGGCTATAAAAAAAATAAACATCAGAATTGAAAATCAGCTATAAAACTCTGTTTTAAGCAAAACAATCTGCTTTTTAAGTCACGGGAACACAAATTTGCATCCAGCGCTAGTGCTCTTCTGCTAAATATTCCACAGTTCTCTAACATGAGTTATAAATTATTGAACAGTGAACTGAAGTGCTTTTATTTATAATTTTTTTCCTACAATTGTCACTGAACTCCAAATGACAATTAGAGAAGAAAAATATTGTAAATTTATCCCACACACATGACTCCCAGTAGAGTCCTAAAAAGGAGTCAAGAGATGATCAGTAGGAGACAAGGATAAAAAGCGGAAAAGGTGGTGGACAACTTTAATACAATATCACACGTGTCGTACATTTAAATAAAAAAAAGGGTAGGTCTATGCTTACGTCAGCCTGTAGACTGCAGACTCTGCATACCTAGTTAGCACACGTATAAACAACAACATTGACAGTGAGGCACAGCTTAGGCGAATAACGAGCCCTACATGCCTGAATCTCTACGATATATACCCTATACAGCTCTCTACACACCCAAGCAGTGCCTTTCACCGCTACAGTACTACTTTTAGTTGCATAGCGTCCTGCTGCCTCCACGCTGCCAGAGTCTTTCCCTGCCACGTGTAGCTACGCACCACAGTGAGTGTGAACGAAGCCAGACTTTCACAGCAACATATACTACATGTACCCTACATGTCACTGCAAGTGTAGACAGGGTCTAAGGAAGTATTTTATCCTACTACAAAGCCCAATCTATCTCGATTTCAGTGGTCCATCTGTACCTAACTTTTGTAGATGGATACAGATATATAATTAAAAAGTGTTTTCTCCAGGTTATTACCAAAACCAGAATCTGGGAGATTAACTCCCATTTTAAAAGTGACAGAGAGAAATTCAGTTGCATCAAGTTTCACTTCCCTTTTATACCCCTAATTAGTCTGCAGAAGGAAGATTATGTCAATTTTTAGCAATGTCAAAACTCTTCCAGGAGAAGGCTTAACAAAGAACTCAGGTCCTGACAGATTAAAAAAACCCTTAGTTTACTTTTGAAATGTATCTACTGTATTTATAATTTTTAAACATATATATATATATATATATATATATATATATATAA